TCTCTCTCTCTCTCTCTCTCTCTCTCTCTCTCTCTCTCTCTCTCTCTCTCTCTCTCTCTCTCTCTCATACATTCTCTTCACTTGCTTTGCTTCATCTATTCCTGTCTCGGACCACCTTTATTTGACTTGCTTGCTTTGTCTTGCTTTCCTTCGCAAGTCAAAGCTACTTTATCATCCGTTGCTTCGCTAATTTCGCGTCGCCAAGCCTTGCGTCGTCTCGCCTCGTTTGTCTTGCCTCACTTGCCTCTCCCTAACAAGCTTTATTTCCTCTCCCCTCTCTCCCTTGCTTTACCTTTACCTCCCTTCCACTCACTTCGCTTTACCAACCCTTGCCCTTTCCTGCCATGCCTTATCTTGCCTTACCATACTCTCTCCCTTACCCTCCCCTCCCCTCCCCTCCCCTTCCTGACCCTCCCCTCCCCTCCCCTACCCTCTCTGACCCTCCCCTACTGTTACCTTGCCTTACCATAGCCTCCCTTACCCTCCCTCCTCCCCTACCCTTCCTGACCTCCCCTCCCCTACCCTTCCTGACCCTCCCCTCCCCTACCCTCTCTGACCCTCCCCTACCGTTACCTTGCCTCACCATAGCCTCCCTTACCCTCCCCTCTCCTCCCCTACCCTCTCTGACCCTCCCCTACCGTTACCTTGCCTTACCATAGCCTCCCTTACCTTATTTTTAACTCCCAGAGGTTTAGAAAAAAAAGCCATTTTGTCAAAGGCAAGCCAGGGTTTCCGAGCGAGAAACCCTCCTCCGTCGTAGCTTATCCTTTCATCTGGGTGAAGTGGGTTGCGGGAGGAGCGAGGAAGGAGGGAGGAAGGAGGGGGAAGGAGGGAGGAGGGAGGGAGAGGCCCTCCTTGAGCACGTCGCCACGTCGGGGGGGAGGGGGGTTTATTGATTCGTAGGGCGCTTCGAAGGCGACGGTTGATGTCCACCGATGGAATGAGGGAGGGAAGGGAGGGAGAAAAAGGGAGGGAAGGGAGGGAGAAAGGAGGGAAAGGGAGGGAAGGGAGGGAGAAAAGGGAGGGAAGGGAGGGAAGGGAGGGAGGGAGGGAGGGAGGGAAGGGAGGGAGAAAAGGGAGGGAGGGAAGGGAGGGAGAAAGGGAGGGAGGGAGAAGGGAGGGAAAGGAGGGAAGGGAGGGAAGAAAAGGGGAAAGGGAAAAAAGGGAGGGGAGAAAAGGGGAGGGAAGGGAGGGAGAAAAGGGGAGGATGGGTAGGAAAGGAAGGGTAGAGAAAGAGGAAAAGGGAGGAAGGGAGGGAAAAATGGAGGAAGGGATAGGAAAGGAAAGGTAGAAAAAAAAGGGGGAAGGGAAGGAAGCAAGGATGGTAGAGAAGGAAGAGAGGAAAGGCAAGGAAGGGAGAGAAGGAGTGAAGGTTGGGATGGACGGGAAGGGAGGGAGGGAGGGAAAGAGGAAGGATGGTGGAAATGCAGGGAAAGGAGGAGGAAAAAAAAAAAGGAAAGATGTGTAATAGGGATGAGAGGGTAGGAGGATAAGTAAGGAAAGTAGAGAAAGGTAAAGAGGGAATGAATGAAGGGAGAAGTATTTATGATAGAAAGGAGAAAAGAAGTGGGAGGGAAATGAGAGAAATGTAAGGCAAGAAGGATAGGGGAAGGATGCTGGGTAGAAAGGGAGGGAAAGAAGAAGGATAAGGAGAGAGAGAGAGAGAGAGAGAGAGGAGAGAGAGAGAGAGAAGAGAGAGAGAGAGAGAGAGAGAGAGAGAGAGAGAGAGAGAGAGAGAAGAGAGAGAGAGAGAGAGGAGAGAGAGAGAGAGAGAGAAGAGCGAAAGAATAGGAAAAGGAAAGGCAATGGATGGAAAGGGAGGAAAGGAAAGGAAGGAAAGACATGAAAAGTCTAGGAAAGGAACCGAAATGAAGGAATTAGACGGAAGGCGAAGATGGTTAAAGTAGAGTTACCTTACTTTGCAATTTTTGGAGTTCGATGCTAGATATAGATGGCTGGCGACAAGAAGGGGGAAGGAGGGGGAGATAAAGGGGGAAGGGGGGATAAGGATAATGGTGGGGAAGGGGGAGAGGGGGAGTAAGGATAAAGGGAGAAGAGGGGGAGAGGGGAGTAAAGGATAAAGGAGAAGAGGGGGATAGAGAAGGACGAAAGGGGGAACAGGTACGGAAGAGAAATAAGAGAGAGGGCGGAGAGAGCGTATGCTGGAATAAGGATGGATGAGAGAAAGGGGAAGGGGAAGGGGTGGGGGGAAGGGAAAGGGGTATGGTGGAATATGGATGGACGAGAAGGGCGGTGGGAGGGGGGGAGGGAGTAAGGAAGGGCAAAGGGCGTGGAATTGAAATGGACGAGAGGTGGGGGAGCAGAGGTGAGAGTGTAGTTAGAGTTCGGGAAAGTTGGGGATAGTGGGGGAGGGGGTAGACAAGGGAGGGAGGCCTAGGGGGAGGGGGGTAGAGAGAGCTATGGGAAGAATGGAAATGGACAGAGGAGGGGGGAGGAGGGGGAGGGGGGAAGGAATTTTTGATTGTGCATAAGCCTAGTTGGCCCGTGGGTTCAGGGAAGTGTCACAAGCTATGGAAGCCTTCTATGCAGCTATAGGAAAAACATGTGCATATCTTTACTAGACCCACACATATACACATAAGGATATAATTGCACAAACACATCCATGCGCAGACAGACACACACACACACACTCATATGTGCATGCACACATACGTACACACAAATGTTTGTTATGTTTGTGCATGTGTGCGTGTTTTTGTATGTGTGTGTGTTGTGTGCGTGCGTGTGTGGTGTGTGTATGTGTGTGTGTGTTGTGTGTGTGTGTGTGTGTGTGTGTGTGTGTGTGTGTGTGTGTGTGTGTGTGTGTGTTGTGTGTGTGCGTGCATGTGTGTGTATTTCTGTATGTGCGTGTGTGTGCATGTGTGTGTGAGTGTGCATGTGTGGTGTATGTGTGTGTGTGCGTGTGTGTGTGTATGTCTATGAACGCATTCATGCATTTATTATGTACAGAGATAAGGGAGAAAGAGCGAAAAAACAAGGAACGGAGAACGGCCACGAAGCGATGATGAATGGAGAAAGTCGGACAGGAACGGACTGCCAAGGAGATGAACAAGACAGAGCATGAGACGTCGCTGCTCCCTCCGCCCGGGTCATACACACACACACCACGCACACACACACACACACACAAACACATACACATACATACACATACACACATACAACACACACACAAACGCACGCAACACACAACACACACACACACACACATACACATACATACACATAACACACACACACACACACACACACACACACACACACACACACACACACACACACACACACACACACCACACACACACCACATATATATATATAATATATATATATATATATATATATATATATATATATATATATATATATATATAATATATATATATATATATATATTTATGCCTAAAACTTTATATCTTTCTTTCCTTTTTTCTTCCATCCTTCATTAACTCTTTCTTTCCTCCCCTCCCGTCTTCCTCCTTCCCTATCCTCCCCTCCTTTCTTTCTTCCTTCCTTCCTTCTCCCCCCCGCGCCCACAAAAAAAAAATTAGAATAAAAGTTTATAAATTATATTAAAGATTATAAATAAAATAACAAAATAGAAATAAAATAAAAATTATAAAACAGAAAATAATAACACTAAGAGTAAAATCTACACGCATAATACCGAAAATAATAATACTAAAACAAATATCTACACGCATAATACCAATAAAAAGAAAAAAAGAAGAAAAAACAAAAGCGAGAGAGTCCACGTGGAGCGAGGAAAGCGCCTGCTTTAAACAACGCTCGAGCTTCCACGAGACGGGCGAGTGAGGCGAGCTTTTCCACAGCACGAGTTAGCTCATCAATCGTTTTCCTCCTTTTTCGTCCGTGGGGGGAGAGGGGGGGGAGAGGGAGAAAGGGGTCCGTAGGAATCGATAGGGAGAGTGTGTTGTTGTTTTTTGTTTTCGTGGCTCTCGGTCTCTCTCTCTCTCTCTCTTTCTTTGTTTATGGTTTGGTTAGGTTTGTTTTTTTGCTTGTTGTTGTTTTTGTTTTCGTGGTTCTCGGTCTCTCTCTCTCTCTCTCTTTTTTTTGTTTATGGTTTGTCTGGTTTGTTTGTTTGTTGGGTTTTTCTTGTTTCTGTTTTGGGGTTTTGTTTGCTTGTCTGCCTGTCTTTCTGGCAACTCTTTCTCTAAATGTATCTGTCTGTCTGTTTGTCTGTCTGGCTCTCTCTCTCTCTCTCTCTCTCTATCTCTCTCTCTCTCTCTCTCTCTCTCTCTCCTCTCCTCTCTTCTCTCTCTTTCTCTCCCCCACCCCTTCTCTTGCTCTCCCTCCCCCCAATCTTCTCTCCCTCTCCCCTTATCCCCCTCCCTCTCCCCCCCTCCTCATTTCGACCTAGTTTTTATCCCTTTTTTAGCACACACGCCTTTTTTTTATCGAGAACACTCTCCATTTATTACCTTTAGCGATGACAGGAATGACTCTTTTGGGAGGAAAAAGAATCACGGATGACAAGAGCGTGTCATGGTAGATTTTGAAAGTGTCTCTGGGACTCATAACACTTTCATGGCCTCCCTCGCGTAAGGACTCACGCTGTGGAATGGTGTGTGAGTAGGAGGGAGGTCTGTAAGGTCTGTAAGATCATTCCGTTGAGAATTTATGCGTTCGTGTATCATAATTCATACGTTCTAGAATTTTTTTTTTTTTTTTTTTTTTTTTTACATTTGAATATTGGTTAAAACGCTTGAACGTTTGTAGTTTTACATTATTTACTGATCTTTTTTTTTTCTTCTTCTTCTTCTTTTTTGTACATGATAAGAATTTCATGTTACATTTCCTTTTACATTCTAAAAAATTTCCATTACATTCCGACATATCTGTGTGCGTGTTAACATTTCCTTCTACACTTTAATATTCTTTCTTCTTGCATTTTAACACATATTTGGCAGGAGTCCATTTTCTAAAATTAATGTTCCCGTTTGTTTTCTTTCAGGTCCTGGCCTTCAGCAAGGGAGACGCTCACCTACCTGCCTTCAGACACGCAATCAAGCACCTGATTTTTGCCTCAAAACAGCAGTCTAGTCAAAATAACTTTGATGTGGTGTGTGTGACGTAACATATGGTTTCCTTTTGGACAATGTACAGAAATATGTTTTGCTTTAGAAACTTTGCACTTGTGTTCTTTTCGCCTCTGATTTGGTGGATGGACAGTTCACTGGTCTAACGGAAGGAGTGGACGCATGGATGCAAAATATCTGTGATTGGCTGTGATATTTCCCGAAACATAAATCCTCTGAACACTATACGTCGATGGTGCCCAAGAAGAAGAAAAAAGACATCATGAACACCTTATCGCCTCTAACAGTTCCTCTGTGGCTATAATGGCTGATGAAAATACTCCTTGAAAAGAACAAAAGAAGAAAACACCTTTTGATTTTTCTTTGTTGATCTTTACGTTGTACGGGAGACAACGGAAGGAAATCGGGAGTGTGTTTTTTCTTTTCTTGAAGTGCTCTAGTGTCTAAACAATATTTTTCTTTCACATTTTTTTTTTATTTTTCATAATTGATTAGCTTCAGTTAGATCGATGGCCACTTCTTAGGCACTGGTTTTGGTTGGCACTCCCTTACTTGCAATAATAATAACATGTACAGAAACGATAGACGGCTGTTTTCACTTTTAGTTCATCCAAGACACTATTAGTTTGTTTGTGTGTTTGAAAGAAGAGAAAAAAAATGCTTTGAGCTCACTTAGCCATACGGATTTTCACACATGCAGACCCTTACAAAATAAAAATAAAAAAAACAGAAAGGAAGCCAACAAAAAACAAAACGAAAAGAATTCCCCCTCCCCCCTCCGGTAAAAAAAAAAAAGAAAGAAAGAAGTAAACAAAAACGAGAGTAAACAAAACACGTAAGGAAATAAACCCGCCCCTTTAAACACTCCCGAAAAGAACCAACGACAAAACAAATTCATAGAAAAAATAAAGAAACTAGATAAATAGCGAACGGAGCGAAAGAACAGCGAGAGAACAGAGAGGGAGAGGGAGAGAAGGAGAGAGAAGAAAGAGAGAGAGAGAGAGCAGCAGCAGCGAGAGAAAGAGAGAGAGAGAGAGAGCAGCAGCAGCGGCCACGACCTCCCACGCATCCTCCTCCAGCATCACCAACATGAATGAGGCAGAAGAAATGGACTTCGAGATGGAGGCCAACAGGGAGGCTGGGATGGAGGATCTGGAGGATGATAATACAGGAATCGATCCCTTCCTGGATTTCTTGCCCAATTACATCCTCTGCAACCAGTCCAATTTCACGAACCTTCCACTTTGCAACAACAAGACTCTGGAGGTGGGTTTGATTATGCTCCGATATTGGGCTCGTGTTGTTTTCTTTCTTGCTTTCTTGCTGCTCTCTTCTTTCTTCTTCTTCTTCTTCTTCTCTCTCTCTTTCTCTCTCTCTCTCTCTCTCTCTCTCTCTCTCTCTCTCTCTCTCCTCTCTCTCTATCTCTTCTCTCTCTCTCTCCTATTCTGCATCTTTTTTTTTTGTTGTTGTTGTTGTCATTATCCATTTCATGATTATCATCATGGCTATCATTTGTGTTATCATCATCTTCATCCTCATCATCACTACCATCAACATCGTCATTACCATCATAATCATTATCATTAATATTATTATCATTATTATCATTGTTGGTGTTGTTGTTGTTCTTATTATTATTGTTATTATTATCACCAATATTATTATCATTATCTTTATAACAATCTTTATCATTATTGCCATTTTTATTATCAACATTATTATTAGAACTATCTTTATTATCATATAATAATAGTAACAATAATAAGGATGATAATTTTGACAATAATAAAAAATGATGATGATGATGACGATAATAATAGTAATAATAATAAATAATAATAATAATAGATATAAATAAATAATAATAATAATAATAATATAATATGATGATGAATTATTATTTATTATCATTATTATAATAACAATAACAGCTATAATATCAATAATAATTATTTTGTTAAAAGAAACATAAATGACAGTAATAATAATAACAAAATAATATTGATTGCAATGGTATAAATTATAAAGATAATAGTAAAAAATAATGATAACTGTAATAATAGTCACACAAAATGATAATAGTAACGCTCAATAATAACTAGTGTCATTATTATCGCTTTTTCAATATTAATGATATTATCATTATTATTGTAGATATAGTTATCATTATTATCATTATCATAAATTACATATTGTTATTGTTATTATTATCTCTGTCTTTATTGTTGTTTTTCCTATTGTTATGATCACCCTTTTGTTATTACTAGTAATGATATTATTGTTACCATAATCATTATCATCATCATCATTACAATTAAGAATATCATTATTATTATCTTGTTATTATTACTTTCATCATCATTTAATTAAGATTATATCATTATTATTATCTTGTTATTATTACTTTCATCATTAGTTATTATTATTATTACTATTATATTTATTATTACTATATTTGTCATTATTATGTTATCATTAATTATTATTATTATATTATTATTATATCATTATTATTATTATTATTATTATTATTATTATTATATTATTATTATTTATTATCATTATATTGTGTTATTATTATTGTTTTAACATTATTATTATCATTATATTATTATAACTATTAGTGCTACTGTTATTTACTATATCCATTATTAGTACATTATTACTAATTTAAATTTTTATCGTGATCATTATCATATTTATATATATTATTATTTATTATTATATTATTATTATTAATTATTAATTATTATTATTATTATTATTATTATTATTATTATTATTATATTATTATTATTTATTTTTATTATTATTATTATTATTAATTATTATTAATTATTGCTATTATTATTTATTATTATTATTATTTTATTATTAATTAAATTATTATTATTATTATTATTATTATTATTATTATTATCATTATTATTATTATTATTATTATTATTATTATTGTTATTATTATTATCATTATTATCATTATTATAATCATTATCATTATCATCCTCATCATTATCATAATTCTGATAATTTTCATGATTTTACCACAATTATCATACTATCACGGAGACCATTACCAATTTAGTTTGCTCCATTATATCATATATTTCAATTTAATTGGTGTTTTGATTTCCTATTCATCTGCTAATCTAATAGGCATTGTAGATCAGTAATCCTTATTCTTGATAATGGAATTAACTTAAAATAATGTCTACTCGATTATACTCGAATAGTTGGTTAAACAGTCGCTACTGTGTTTCACAACGGAAGGGTATACTGCAATCACATGATCTAAATATTAGTAGATAGAGAGATAGATAGATAGATAGAGAGAGGATAGACGGATAGAGACTTAGATAGATAATTGTAAGATATTACAACTTCCATTATCTTTTCTGAGACAATCCCCCGCCTGGGAAGTCAGGTTGCACAATAGAGTTATTGTTATGTTGCACAATCATACAGTTTTAATATACAAGCCTCCAATCACCACTAACACCACTTTAACTCACCACACCATTCACCCAATCGTTGGTCCTCACAATACCAGCACAATCCCGCATCACTCACACGGAAAGCTACGTGTGAGGATGAATATCTTCACAGCATAAGAAATGTCTTTGAGCGGTTTCGACTCTACATCAGTAATGTATTTCCTCACAGGGACAAGTATTTAACCGCAAGTATTAAGTGTATCTTCACCAGGAAATACACTTGATTCTAGCAAGTCAAATGATATCTCATTCGCTGTGAAGATAATCATTCATACTGATTCATACCTATTCTCTAATCCTCCATGAGTCGTACTACACACCATTAAACCTACATCACTCCCTTCCCTCTCCTCATCTTTATCAAATTTGCTGTAAAGATATTCGTACCGTATTTTTTACCCTCCATGAGTCGTGCTGTTAACCCCCCCCCCCCTTTCTCTCGTCCTCTTTATTAACTTTCTCCTTCTTCTCCATCTTTCTCAACCACACCACTTCCCCTCCCTCTCTCTCTTTATTAACTTTCTCTTCTCTCATCTTTCTCAACCACACCACTTCCCTCCCCTCTCTCTCGTCCTCTTTATTAACCTTCTCCTTCTTCTTTCTCAACCACACCACTTCCTCCCTCTCTTCTCTTTATTAACTTCTCCTTCATCTTTTCACCACACCACTTCCCTCCTCTCTCGTCCTCTTTATTAACTTTCTCCTTCTTCTCCATCTTTCTCAACCACACCACTTCCCTCCCCTCTCTCGTCCTCTTTATTAACTTTCTCCTTCTTCTCCATCTTTCTCAACCACACCACTTCCCTCCCCTCTCTCGTCGTCTTTATTAACTTTCTCCTTCTTCTCCATCTTTCTCAACCACACACTTCCCTCCCCCTCTCTCGTCCTCTTTATTAACCTTCTCCTTCTTCTCCATCTTTCTCAACCACACCACTTCCCTCCCCCCTCTCGTCCTCTTTATTAACCTTCTCCTTCTTCTCCATCTTTCTCACCACACCACTCCCCTCCCCTCTCTCTCCTCTTTATTAACCTTCTCTTCTTCTCCATCTTTCTCAACCACACCACTTCCCTCCTCTCTCTCGTCCTCTTTATTAACTTTCCCTTCTTCTCATCTTTTCTCAACCACACCACTTCCCTCCCCCCTCTCTCCTCTTTATTAACTTTCTCCTTCTTCTCCATCTTTCTCAACCACACTTCCCTCCCTCCCCTCTCTCGTCCTCTTATTAACCTTCTCCTTCTTCTCCATCTTTCTCAACCACACCACTTCCCTCCCTCTCTCGTCCTCTTTATTAACTTTCTCCTTCTTCTCCATCTTTCTCACCCACACCACTTCCCTCCCCTCTCTCGCCCTCTTTATTAACCTTCTCCTTCTTCTCCATCTTTCTCAACCACACCACTTCCCTCCCCCCTCTCTCGTCCTCTTATTAACCTTCTCCTTCTTCTCCATCTTTCTCAACCACACACTTCCCATTAACCTTCTCCTTCTTCTCCAAACCACTTCCCTCCCTCCCCTCTCTCGTCTCTTTATTAACTTCCTCCTTCTATTTCCCTCCCTCCCCTCTCTCTCTCTTTATTAACCTTCTTCCTTTTCTCCTTCTTCTCCATCTTTCTCAAGGACGAGACTCTCTTCGAGTATGGCTTCATCGTCGCCATCGTCGTCCCCATCATCTTCGGCATCATCTTCCTCGTTGGTCTTTTCGGCAACACACTCGTCGTGATCGTCATCATCATCAACAGACAGATGAGATCCACGACAAATTATCTTATCTTCAGGTGAGCTCATGCTGCTGCTGCTGTTGTTGTTATTATCATTAAAATAATCGTTAATATTATTTTATTATTATTATTTTCATAATTAGTTATTATTATAATTACTATTATTATTGTTATTATTACTATCATTGTCGTATTATTATTTTCATTATTAGTTATTATCATAATTACTATTATTATCTTTATTATTACTATCATTGTCGTTATTAGTGTTATCATTATCATTATTATTATTATCATTATCATTGTTGTTGTTGCTGTTGTAGGCGGCGTTGTTGTTATGTGTTGCTGTTTTGGCTGTTGTTGGTGGAGGTGGTGGTCGCGTTACTGTGTTTGTTTGTGTTCTTGTCATCAATACTGTTGTTATTTATCGCCTGCTCTTCCATCCCCTCCCACTTCCATCTTTTCCATTTTCCCCTTATCATCATCTGTCTCTGTCTATTCCCCCCTTCCTCACGTTCATTCCATTCCTCATTCATCTTTTCCATTTTCCCCTCATCAACATCTACCTCTATCTATTTCCTCCTCCTTATTCACCTATTCGTATTTCATCTTTTCCATTTTCCCCTCATCATCATCTATCTCTATTTCCTCCTCTTTTCTGCTTCCTCCTCCTGCTCTTCTCTTTTCTTCTTATCCCATTTTCTGATAATAAGATTATATTTGTTTGTATTCTTATCCTTATTATTGTTTTTATTTCCCTGTTTCTTCTCCCCTACCCCCTTACTCTTCCTTCTATTTCATTTTCCCCTCATCCTCATCTATCTCTAGCTATTTCCTCCTCCTTCTCAACTCCCTCATCCTCCCCTATCTCCACTTCTTCCTCCTCTTCCCTACCTCCACTGCCTCCTCCTCCTCCTCCTCCTCCTTGCCTCTACCTCCTCCACCTCCTCCCTCTTCCTCCCCTACCTCCACTTCCTCCTCCTCCCTCCCCTACCTCCACTTCCTCCTCCTCCCCTCCCCTACATCCACTTCCTCCTCCTCCTCCCCTACATCCACTTCCTCTCTCCTCCCCTATCTCCACTTCTTCCTCCTCTACCTCCTCTACCTCCTTCCCTTCCCTGCCTCTTCCTTCCCTACTTCCACCTCCTCATCCTCCCCCTCTCCTCCCTCCTCCTCATCATCATCTCCCCCTTTCCCCTTTTTCTTGTTATCTCACCCTTCCCTCTTTCTTCTTAATAGAAACCTGGCATGTGACAGACACAAGATCTTTGATAATCTGATAGCACTGATTTCCTGGTCAAGCTCTCGAGATGTATGAATATTGATGAGTCGATACGCTGCCAGTGCCTTGCTGTAATGCCATATGGACTGATTCTGGATTATTTATCAATTAGGGGTAATTAGTTAATTGCCTAACTCGATGTCTGATTTGACCTTTTTGCTTTATGTAAGTCGGACTGTAAACGCTTTGTTTTTGCTGGATGTAACAGGTATGATACCCCGATTTTTGTGTGTGTATATGTGAGTTGTGTTTGTGTGTGTGTGTGTGTGTGTGTGTGTGTGTGTGTGTGTGTTGTGTGTGTGTGTGTGTGTGTGTGTGTGTGTGTGTGTGTGTGTGTGTGTGTGTGTGTTTTTGTGCCTTGACTAATCTGGCACTCTGGTTTGCTTCGTGCTGCTGGTAGACCTAACTGATCTCGTTTGTATTTCATGTTTGTCATTTGTTATAACTCAGTCGGACGTGAACTTTTGTTTTTTCTGTTGTGTCATTTTTGCCGCTTCGTTATTTTATGTAAAACTCGTGGTCTAAGCTGTCCTTGTCTATATTTTTGTTGCTGTTTTATGTAACTGTTTAATCTAATCTTTATACATCTAATGTTGCTATTTTATGTAAGAAGGAATCTAATCCAAACTTGTTCTCTATAACTTATTTTTATTTTTTTTTTATAATTAGTTGTCTAACCGGACTTTCCTGTACGTCCATTTTATTAGGACTTTAATCTATTTTTTCCCTATAACTTGAGAGACCATTTTTTGACCTTTAGGAAATATTTATCGGTTCGATGCAGTGGTGACATTTTTCCTCCCCTTTTCCAACAAATGTTAAGAGGGGTCGTTATTGATTTACAATATTTGGTACAATAACTGGAAGGAACTAAACCAAATATGGAACTTTATGATTTTTTTTTCTTTTATGTTTTCTTGTCATTTCTTTTCATTTTTCTCGTTTTTATTCCTTTTCAAAGATTTATTTGGTACAATAACTGGAAGGAACTAAACCAAATATGGAACTTTATGATTTTTTTTTCTTTTATGTTTTCTTGTCATTTCTTTTCATTTTTCTCGCTTTTTATTCCTTTTCAAAATCAATTTATTTGGTACAATAACTGGAAGGAACTAAGCCAAATATGGATTTTTTTTTATCTTTTATGTTTTCTTGCCATTTCTTTTCATTTTTCTCGCTTTTTATTCCTTTTCAAAATCAATTTTTTGGTACAATAACTGGAAGGAACTAAACCAAATATGGATTTTTTTTCTTTACATTTCTTTTCATTTTTCTCGCTTTTTATTCCTTTTCAAAATCAATTTATCCTTACTAGAATCAATGTCTTTTCTATTTGTTAGTATATCACATAATACCGAAGGATCTATATCTGACTTTCTGTATCTATTTCAGAAGAAAGTACAACATTGTTATTATTTTCTTCTATTTGTTAGTTGACCTGCATTTATTTTCTAAAAAAAAAAAATTGTTGTAGAAGTAATACCGGGGTTTGAATGGGTTTGTGTATGTATGGAGGTATGTGGGTGCCTGGTGTTTTGTGTGTCTGTGATAGACTGATAGGTAAATGGATAGATAGATAGGTAGATAGATAGATAGATAGATAGATAGAGAGAGAGAGAGAGAGAGAGAGAAGAGAGAGAGAGAGAGAGAGAGAGAGAGAGAGAGAGAGAGAGAGAGAGAGAGAGGCAAGATATAGACAAGACAAGGGAGAGATAAAACAATACTAATGCTCCTGCGAGACTCTCCTACATAATTCGCTCAAGAAGATAAATCATAAATCTGCTAGATATGAAAATCTGACTTTCAATGATTTTAATTATTTATTGTATGTTGATGCATCTCTCTCTCTCTCACTCTACCTCTCGCTCTCTCTCCTTTTCTCTCACTCTCTCTCTCTCTCTCTTCTCTCTCTCTCTCTCTCTCTCTCTCTCTCTCTCTCTCTCTCTAACCTTCTCGCTCTCTCTCTCTTTCTCTCATACTCTCTGTCTGTCTTTCTTTCTGTCAGCCAGTTTGTCAGTCAGTCTGTTTGTCTGTCGTTTGTTTGTCTCCCTGTTTCTCTATTTTTCTCTCCCTGCGCGCGCGCGCGCCTGTGTGTGTGTGTGTGTGTGAGTGTGTTAGTGTGTGTGTGTGTGTGCGTGTGTGTGCGTGTTGTGTGGTGTGTGTGCGCGCGCGCGTGTGTGTGTGTCCTTTGTATAGAGGAGACTAATCTACCCCACAAACACAACACGCTACACAAAACCTCAAGATTCCACCTCCCACGACCTCTTAAATGAGTAGTTCCTCGTCCACGCGACCGCATCCCTGGATGGGGAAGGTCGGACGAAAACACCCTCAAGTGAGACTCAAATGACGCGGAGAAATCGGAATCGAAGACATGCAACCGGTATTTGACTCGAGTTCCAGCCATTGCTTTGAGGAACTCGATGAGAAAAAGATTCTGGAAGACGTAGCCAAGAGAGAGAGAGAGAGAGTAAAGTGCACTGACTGGCAGGGTGTAAATGGAGACGTACATACGCACGTACGCAGAAAATAAAAAACTCATGTGCGTGCATTTTTTTTTTCGTTTTTTCCCAAAAACAGGAGTGAGTGCGCATATGTCCGTTATAAGATTCGACGTCATATTTTACCTTTATGCGGAGTCTGAACATTGCCTGGGGACGCTAAAAGTTCCCAGCCGTGAACTACAGTCGCCTAAAGTGTCATAAATAACAGTTCGCTCTTGCAAATATATTCGCCTCACGTAGTCAGAACGTAAATCCCAAACTGACGTATTTCTTTTGCGGTTGAATTTAAAATGGTTATTTGACAAATGTTTAGAGATTAAGTCAGAGCTCTGTGAGTACATGAGTCTCACTGAATAGCAATGCACAGAGAGAGAGAGAGAAAGAGAGAGAGAGAGAGAGAGAGAGAGAGGAGAGAGAAGGAGAGAGAGAGAGAGAGAGAGAGAGAGAGAGAGAGAGAGAGAGAGGAGAGAGAGAGAGAGAGAGAGAGAGAAGAGAAAGAGAGAGAAAGAGAGAGAGAGAGAGAGAGAGAGAGAGAGAGAGAGAGAGAGAAGAGAGAGAGAGGAGAGAGAGAGAGAGAGAGAGAGAGAGAGAGAAAGAGAAAGAGAAAGAGAGAGAGAAGAGAGAGAGAGAGAGAGAGAGAGAGAGAGAGAGAGAGAGAGAGAGAGAGAGAGAGTTGGGGGGGAGCGAGGGTTGCGTCCTTGTATGTGTATCTGCTCTCAGCTAATCTGTAAGTTTTCCGTTATTAGATACTTATCTTAGTTTTATTATAGTCATTAGTTACAGTTTCGAAAATATGCGTATACGACTCTTCTGTTGATGATATTTTCTTATAAGACAAAACATATGTAATATGTACGCAAATATTAGTATATATAACGAAATTCATTCAGCTTATGTCAGTGCAAAGAACCCGTGTAATG